CCCTCTGGAATGAATCCTACGAATATAACGAAGGTAAGTTATTTTTCTTTTAATTTTAAAAAAAAAATTAAACTTAAATTTAAATTATTCCTTGCCTCTTTTTGTAGATAAAACTACTTCGATTTCTATAAAAAAAGAAAATAAAAAATGTAAAGAAGGTAAGCAATTCTATTTTAAATACAATAAAAAAATTCTCTTTTCCCATTTTTAAATTCTCCTACCTCTAAATTTCCAGTTTTCAAAAGATCTTTCGATATTCTAGAAGCAAAATAGTCGAATAGGAAAAATGCGTAAGGAAAAAAAGAAAATGGGATAAATGAAAAAAAATGTGTAAAAAAAAGAAAAAAAAGGACAAAGGTAAAAAAATATGCTGATCTTATTATATCCGAATAAAAAAAATAAATTGGAATGACACAGTAGAATAAAACTAAATTGACAAGTCATCGACTTTTTAAACGAGTAAAATTTTTAAAAATTTTGCTACTAATAATAGATTTATATATGAAAAGATTTATCTTGAAGTATCTCAAAATTTTATTATGTAATATAACTTGCTTTTATAATACAAATATATTTCTCAGGCTAAAATATAGCTGAAATTGCCATTAACTCATTTTTGATTTTTCTGCTGTTTCCCCCCTTTCTATTGCAAAGGCCCCATATTATTATGATTATAGAATCTGAATAAGCTACTCTTGGACAAGTTACAACATGAGCATAGTTGAGAGAAATTATTAACAAATTACCTTCTAATGAAAGTGAATTTAAAACTTTAATGATTAGTAAAATTGATAATTGATGGAAGAAAATTTACAATCCAATGTTTATTATTACCTGTTTTGCATCTATATTATCAAGAAAAAGAAATCAAATTGATCAAATTATTACAAATTCAAGAGAATGCTTATTTTTTATTTTGTATATTATATCTGGATAAAGGTAATAATGTATTTATATATGAATGGTTAGATTATCAAAATAAGAAAAGTATTTTCAAAGCAGAATCTTTAATAGTTCTAAACTTACTAAGAATCCATTAAGATATTGGCGAACTGTTTTACTTCATGCATCAAATTTAGCTGAATTTGCTTATAGGCTCTTTTCAATTTTACCAAATTCAGCAACTTCAGAAAGGGTATGGTCTCTTATAAGTAATATACATACTGAATAACGCAATCGTTTATCATCAAAAAAACTGTTAAAATAGCACAAATAACATAGTATATAAGAAAGCAATTATTTGCAAAAAAATCTCAAGATTCTTTAGATTCTTTAAAGGTTTATAATGAATTAAAATAATACATATATCAAATGGAGATGAAATAAATGTAAATGAAATGATAGATGATTTAGAACAAATGTTAGTAAGAATAATTTATGATATTAATGTGTTTGATTCTAATAATGATGATAATTTGCAACTTCTACTTTGCTTGAACTTTTTGACTCACAAATAATTAAATAGCATTGATTCAAGAAATTAATTCCATATAAATACTTACAAATAACTTGATTAACAATAATAAAATATATTATCATATTAAAAATTGACCAATTAGAATTTTTAATATTAATAATTTAATTATTAACTTAATAAGTAATTATTAATTAAAAATGATTTTAAATAATTTCTAAGTCCTATCACTAACTGTAAGTTATGTAAATAAAGTATTAATTAATTCTGATTTAATTTGATTTATAAGATTATTGATTATTGAGATCAAAACTTTTAGATGCTTGATCAATAAACCCTTAATCTTTTGTATTCTTCTTGAAATAATAATTTTCGGATTCTGGTCATACCATACCTCAATAAAGAATCTAGACAAATGTATCTTTTTTGCCGATCATGATTAAATATCTTTAAGTTTTTGGTATCTTTATACCAACTGGTGCTATGAAACCGATGCTGAACCTCTTGCATTTCTAATGCAATTTGATATTTTTTGGAAGAAGGTATCAAGCTCTAATCCATTCAAGAAAGGAGGGTAGTATTTAATCATAGGTTTCTCATTAAGAATTTCCTTAGTTATCTGAATGCATCTAGTCTGGAATTTGCAATTTTTTTTTAGATTCTCTTTTTGCCCAAGCCTGCTCTAGTTTTATAATTCTTTCTAAGAGTTCAGCATGATCCTGCTTCAATTTGTACTCTTAGCTTAAAATACTCAAATTTTAACACTTTAATTCTAGTTTTGGGTTTTGCATTTTCAGCATTATGCCTCTCATTATATTCTTCATTTGCTCTTAAAATTTTGGCCTTCCTGCGCTTAAGTTCAGCTATTTCAGCATTAAGATAGGGAATCTCAGTATTCTTCTTCTTAAACTCTGCATTTTTAGCCTCAAGTTCAGTGATATACTGTTTCAATGATTCAAGATCAGATAACATAATCTATATATAACTAATATAATATATATAAGCATTTAAAATAAAACAATGTGTTTTTGATCAAGTTGTCTTGACTGAAATTTGTCAAGAAAATTTATTATTATTATATGTGAAAATTAGATACATAGTTTGAGACGTAGTCCAGGATACATATTATTTTTTGATAATTTTTTCGATTGTAATCCTCTTGCTAGACAGGAAACTATTAATACTAATATGATTCTTTAATAACCTAATAATGATACTGATTATTCTTTTCATAGTAATTCTGGATTTTCTTTAACAGTAGATTTCATGAGATTAATTTGATACTTACTTTCACTTGTAAAGTATATAACATCTGGAGTATATATGATAAAATACCACTCTGTGTCTGTGATTATGATACCATAAATGTAGTCAAAATAGTCATTCCCAAACGTTTGATCTGCAGTCTGTTTCTTTTTATTTGTCTGAAATATGCTTTTAAGCTATGCTAGATTCTAATAAATATAATATACCACTTTTTTAGTCTTTTTAGTTCAAAGCCAATAGATTAAGAAGACAAGCACTCTTATCTGAGCATATTTAATCTTATATTATGTGATTTCCCTTCAGTAATACAAAAAAAGATCTTTTAAACTTTTGATTGTATAATCTACTCAGCCTGTCGCATCTTCACCAAAAATATCTGTTTATAAAACTATGAATATATCTTGAGAGGTGAGTTTCTTGGCGATTGGAATTGATGCATGTAATATAGCTAAAATAAATTCACAACACATTGCCTCATTAGCATCAGTCATAGTCTCCATATTTGAAAGCTTTAAGATAATGTCACCCATATAATATTTGAATGTTTTATCATCATACTAATCTTTTTGAAGACTATAGAGAAAAATAAAATTAATATAGCTATCTAGTCAGTTTCAAAAAATAATTAATTACTTACCAGGAGTAAACTGCTTAATATTTATAATATCTTTCCTATTGACCTTATTTATACATAACATTTCTTTCAAGTCGTCAAGAGTTTTAAGCGAGGAATAGTTTCGTAGCTTCTGGTTGAGACCTTTAATGAATTCTGTAAGCTTTATTGTTAGACCTAACATAAAACTAATACTATGAAAGTCCTTTTTAGTTAACTTGAGAAAGTGAGAGTCAGCAATTTTTCTTTATGAAGAATTTTAATATTATCTTTATCAAGTTTTAAATTTTTTCTTCCCAAATAATCAATAAGCTCCTCTGTATTAAAATCCTTAACCACATCTGATATTATTTTGATAGATATTTCTTCCATTATTAAGGCAGGTGAAGTGGGTGAAGAAGCTTGTGAAAACATAGTTTTTATATATGTGAGTTTATACTTGCAAAAAAAATATGCACTTGGCTGCAGTTACAAGTAAAGCTGGTTTATAAATATAAAAGTATTTTTGGTTTTTGATACTCAAGAAGAAATAATAGATTTTTTTGTATCAATTCATAATGCATTTGCTAAATATATGCAATTAAATGTAATACAGGACTGTCAGATGATTATATTACATTATTTTTTTCAAGATTTATGATAAAAACGTAATATATGCTTTATTTAAGAAATAAAAAAAACGTTGTCAGAAGTGAATTATAATTCACCTACAATATATAAAAATTGCAACTATAATGCTATTACATGATATTATGGTGACATGAAAGAATTCTGCCTAAGGTTATTGACCAAAAAATTCAGAAATTGAAAGCGTAAGATCCATTTTCTTTTCTTGAATACTCCTAGAATGAACTTGATAAAGACTTAAAGGAATATCTTCTAATTCCAATTTGTCTTTAATTGCATTTATAAGATCATTAACTGGTTGACTTATACTAATTGTAATCGTTTGGTATATCACATTATATTGAAAATTATTAAAATCCCATTAGAATGATAGACAGTTGAAAGTGATATTGACTATATTTCATATTTCCTAATGCAAGAGTTCATGTGAAAATTTTCGCTCGCAATAAACATAACTTCTGGTATATACATACCTTAAAATTTTTGTGAAAAAGTTTGCTGAACTTCTACATATCTATACATGCTTTATATTTTACTAGGAAAAAGATAAGGATATATAAGACGTAATTAGTATCATCAGGAATTTTTTCGGGGAATATATAGCAATATATATCTCTTCATCGTTGTTTATCGTGATTTAAATATTGATTATCAATATATTAAGATAAATATTGATATATATTTGCGATATTATAACGATATTTATCTTAAACAAAAATAATCATGAGATTAATTTGTGATACTATTATATCGATGATTATCACATCAATAATTTGCGATGCAGTTAATTATTAAATATTATCACATGGTTAGTTAACGATATGCTAATTATCAAATAATATCACAATAATAATTTGCAATGCAATTATTTATTATATACTGTATGTTTTAAAAAATATACCTATTAACGAAATATTCATTTTCACAATTTCTTCTTGGTATAATGTGAACTGCCATATTTACTGAATCTAAATAGACGCATATATATTGATCAGTTAGCCAAAATCTTAGACATCTATACATTTCTTCATCAACATCATCATACCATCATAATAAAATGAGATTTATTGGATCTTTATCTTATTCAACAAAAAATTCCAATAATAAAAGTACCTAAAAAATTAAGTTAATGACATTAGAAGTTAATAAAATTCATAAAATATATAACAATATACAGTACCCTTCCATACCAATCATTTTCTTCGGAAGAAACAACTACATTGCTAAACCACTCATAATTATGAAAATTTCCTGCTATTCGAATAATATCAGTCGATTCAACGGCTACACTTAAATATATCTTGAAATATCCAAACTCATCATTATAAGTTATATTTTTTTTGACTAAAAATTCGTCGAAACCTGCATAAAGATTATTGAAACCTTCTTTATATAGATGATGAATATCATCATCTTGCTTTATTTGAGAAACTTTTGATTCAATCTCACTAACGTTTAATTCTCATAGAAGATTTCTAAAACTAGCAGATCTTTTGGTTTTATACTTTACCGATGTTTGTTTAGAGGTCAAAAATTGACGCTGTATCTATTACATTAATTGAATTTTTAACAGTTAATATTGATAACGGTAAAAGTAAGTATAAATAATAGATTATATAGCATACCATATTTAATATCTGCAGAACATAATTCTTTTTGTTTGTCATTCGATACAGATTCTTAACATTACTTTTATGCAACATTTTATAAGTTTCTGTGGACATGCCGTTCACTAAACCATAATGGTGAATCGACAGAATTACATAATAATAAAGTACATAAAGTTTTGGAATTCTGCAGTGACTTGACGAATAATCGTAAAATATTGTCACAAATTCTTGACAGAATTCAGTTATATATACCTAATAAACAAAAAAAAGTTTATCGATATGTTTATCTATATTTGACTGACTGTTAGAGATTTTAATTATATTTACCTGCAATTCTGCCAATTCAATATCCATAAAAGATTCCTGATGCAACTTCATATACATCTTTAAATAAAGACAAAACATGTTACATAATCTTTCGCATGGTATTTCTTCTTCTTTATAATCTTTGTATAAATTATCTGTTACGAATATAATCACTTTTATTATATTGCGATAATCATTGGCGGTGAATTTTGAAATATTTTCCAAGCTGTTCTTCAAAATTATTAAGCCTGGATAGCGTGGAATTTCGCATAGTCTGTGATCAATCTCCTTAACTACTTTTGTGTCAACTTTTTGTTGTAAGTATTCACGAGTAAATTCCAAAAGATACTTCATGATGCTGAGATTAAGCATGTGCATTTGATCTGAAACGGTCGCTTCATAAACATTAAAATCATCAAATTTCCAAAAAAAATTGAAATTTGTATGAATTGAAAGTTCTTTGGCTTGATTTATTTCAATGGCTTCTTTCATATTTTCCTGAGTTCATAAATCAATGTGAGTTAACGTCATATTATTGAGATCTTTATTGCTTGTTAAGCAAAAACCACAAGGTCGTTTGGAAGTCAATGGGAGATATGTAGCAGTAAATGTTACTGCTTCTACTATATCAGCGAGAATGATCGATATTTCTGGGTAAATTGATGTATTTCATTTTTTACAACAAAATACATCATTTTGATTCAAAATTAGTGATAATAGCATTTGAAGTAAAGATGGTATAGCAATTGATTTCAAATTTACAAAATGTTGCAACATAAGCTAAAATTAGTTGCAACATATGTTGCAACACTATAAGTTGCAATATATATAGGTTAAAACTAATTGCAACGTAAGTTGTAACATTAAAAGTTGCAACATATTAATTATAGTTCCCATCTTTAATTCGAAGGCATCTTTAGAAAACTTGTCTTTGCAATTTTCGAAATTCTTTAGAATTTCTTGTCGTATTATCCTTTGCTTTTATTTTTGGGAGATAACCAACAAGGACTTTAGCATTAGGTTTATTCTGCAGCCAACTTGGAATGTTACCTAGTGAAATATAAATTGGATATTCTGATGTTTATCAAGATGATCGCACATAGTTGCATTAACATAGATAATGATTGATAGTAAATAATTGTCAATAGGAATGTTTTTTTCTGTTGTTTTCCACCAATCACTTTCAAATTATTCGCCGTAAGTCCTAATCAATGTATTGTTATCTCAATATCAAAAAACAAATTCCTTATTAATATCAGGCTGAATAAGTAAAACCTTAATTTTGTGAATTATTGGTTAGTAATGGAAATTATAATCTATATTCTGGAAATTTGTGATAGGAACTGCTTTGAATTTCATATAAGGAAATTCGTTAACATCAAGGAATTTACGACCTTCCTTGGTGCTTTTTGGTAACAGATTTTTATCGGTGGAATTTTGACTATTATTGATCAGCTTAATTATTCTATCATCATAAGAATTAGATAATTGGTATTCCATAATGATTTCCATAAATTCTCAGTAAATATTATTTGGCTATTCAGTATTTGGCAGATGCATTTTGTCCGTTATGGTATTGTCTAATGTGGTCTCACAAAATCTTTAGTATCGATAGATAACAAAAATGTCAAGTTATCATCGATTTCTTCATCTGTTTTGTTGCCTTTTTTACTTTCTCTATCCGTTTCTATAGGTTATTCTAATATTATTGATTTAACATCTCCATTCTTGTTATTTAATGTCAAAAATCTAATTATTATTAAATTAATTTCAATATGATAGTTATCATGAACTTACTACCTGATCCTCGGTTAGTAAAAAGTTATTCCAAAGACCAGGTTTCTCAATTGGTAATTCATCATCCCAAAGACTGGATTCTTCATACGGTATGTTAGAACGAGAAGTTTCACCTTTATCTTTAGCAATATATTGATATTTGTCAGAAATATGACGTTTTAAAGCGCAGGAAGTTGCAAAGGTTCAGAAACAATAGAAGCATTTATAAGGTATCTTATTTAATGTATCGAAAGTTATTAGTATTGAAAGAATTGTTTAATGAAATTCATTTTCTTTCCTAACGATCTTCCAATATATAATTATTGAATAATTGAAAATTGAATTATTATTATTTAATCGATAAACTATGTTAATTAAGTGATTGATTAAATAATACACTTAAACAGACAGATACAATAATTGAAACAATTACAAACATTTAATTAAATTGAAGAATCACGTTTATCAAGTTAATTTGATTTTAATAATTGAAATAAAACCATTAATATTGATTAAAATTGATTAAATTCAAAATAACTCATTTTAAGTGAGATTTATAATGATATCAAAAAAAAAAAAAAATTAGCAAAAGTATATTTAAGGATAACTTTTCTTAAACTTTTTTTTTAAACTTTTAACTTTTCTAATCATGCTTGTTTAACATTTTTTTTTCTTACGCTTTTTAATTTTTTTTTCGTTTTTTAATATTTTTTTTTTCACGCTTTTTTAATTTTTCTTCGCTTTCTAACAATTTTTTTTTTCTTATTTTTTTTTTCAAATTTTCTCATTTTCTCACTTTTTTTAAAAAAAATGTCTTATAAATGTCAGGGAGCTCAATCTTTGAAAGCATCAAACCAAAAATATAGTAAATCAGATGAGAAACATAATGATAAAGTTCATCAAGAAATATAAAAAGTAATAATAACTACTACATTATTATATTATAAACGTTAATACAAATGTTTTATTTTAGTTATAAGAGATGCAAGAGGGGCAAGAGGTGCAGTACATGCAAGAGGCTTAAGAAGAAATAAACATGTTGAAGAATGTTATCGTAAAACAGATGTTATAGGAGAAGAAGAAGAAGAAGTTTTGAATTCTTCTTATCAATCTACCTCTACTACCTCAGAACCTTCTTCAACTCAACAATCTACCACTTAATGATCATCATCATCTCTATCACTGATAATTATCGATCCAGTTGACAATAGAGAAATTATCATGAGTCGATCTCATACGTCAATAATGACTCCAGATATGACGTCGCCTACCCCTACTGAGTAACAACAAAGTTAACGCTCAACACCAATAGTTGAACTGCCTATAATTAAACCCGCCCAAAGTTGACACTTAACCCAATGATCGAAAGAATATCATCTGATAATGTTGAGTCAATGTTAATAAAATTAAGCAAACAAAATTGTGTTTTATACGAAATGCAAAAAATAACACTTGAAAGAATCGTATCGCTTCAGACTCAAATAAAAAATCTAAGCAGCAATAAAAATAATGAGCTTAGATTAAAAGTATTTAACGTAAGTGAGTGATAATTTAGTTTGTATTATATTATCACATTTAGATATTTAACGTCATAAGTTATTTATCGCTATATTTATTATACAGAATGGATATAGTGCAGTATATGCTGAATTTTTTTCAAATAACATGTGGCTGAAGTTCGAGAAATATAAATGATTATTAGAAAAATGGTTAAATTCGAGCTATTTAGGTTATATTCGTGAATTAGATGAATGAGAATGGATTAACTCCTTTAGCGAAAAACATCATTCTATGGTAATTATCATCAGTTAATTGTTAATTTTTAAATATTTAATTTTAATTTTATTTTATGATAGCTTATGCGAAAAATGAAAGACATGAGAGGAAATCATATCTTAGCAATCTAAACTGCTATTTTCAGAACATTAGGACTGCAATTGGCAAACAATAAATGCAAAAACTCAAGGGATATTCTAGAATGAAAGCAATTTAAAGAAGTAAAAGACAATTATAATAAATTGTTCACCAAAAGTACCACAATAGAGAATATCACTAGTTCTGCATTTTTATTGTTAAATGATGCTAACAATAAAAGATTTAGTGATATGTATATTTATACCACATCTGTATATGATATAATATTAAATCCAAATTGTCTCACTCTCAAAGTCTCCAAGAAATCACTGGAATTACGATTAAAAAGATTTAGGGTATTTATCGAATTCATTTTGTTATTTAAAAATTAATTTTATTAATTAAAGTCAAAATTAGGAAGCGATTAATAAAAATAGTCAAATTAAGCTTAGCGATTCAATATCGATTTTACGTAAAGAAGTGCCCGATATTTCTAGTAAAAAGAAATATACTGATGACAATGAAGATGAGGAAGAGCCATCTGAAGACGAAATAACGTCTAACGATATAAGTTTTAAATAATATGATAAATTGTTTGATTAATAACAGTAATTATTTTAATTTATTCTATTTCTGAATTAATTTTTAAGTTTAATAACATTTATTTTAATTTTGTAATTTTGATACTTTTTGATTTAAGCTTTCGTTTATAATTTTGCGGAAAGACGATTATGATTATTTGCTTATTTTTCACTTATTTTACCACTTATCTTTTTTTTTCTTATTTTACCGATTAACATTTTTTTTATTATTTTTATTGCTTAACATTTTTTTGTTGGTTTACATTATTTTATATAATATTTTATAATAGAATAAATGCAAAGGAATATTTATCTTTTATAAAACAATGTTTATCTTATTGGTTAAATTTCGATGTTTATTTTTGTATTTCTTATCGTTCAGGTTATTTATCGTTAGTATATTTATCAGTATTTATTAAATTCGATGTTTATAGATTAAATATATATCATTATTTATTGTTTTAGGTTAAAATCTGATGTTTTATCATCATTTAACCACATCGATAATTCTTGACGTGATCGATTATTATCGATATATATCACATATTATAATTACTGTGATAAAAAATGATGAAGAGATATATATCACTATATATTCCCCGAAAAAAATTTCCACTAATTGTCATCTGATGTCAAGAGTTCTATGAAAGCATATGTAAACAGAATTTTCAAACCTTTTCATATAAAGATCTACCCTGTAATACATATAGTTGATTTTACACCTGGCGATCTCAAAATTATAACTTCCTCAACCCTTCATAGTATATGCTTTTGTTGTCAATATTTACTTTTACAGTAGATCCTGTATTGTAACTAGATTTCCTTTCATATTTTCCTCATGTTTATTTGGAAAAAAATAAAGAATAAAGGTTAATATTTTTTCTTTTTTGAATATATATATTTGAAAATTAATATGTCACATAAACCTGTCTGATGATCTGCATATTTTTGTTTCACAATTTATGATTCAGCAAATTCTTCTGAGCTGAAGATCATTACTCTAGGTTAATGATCAATATTCTAGACTCAAAATTTTCCACATTAAATATATTACTTTATTATAGTAATTATGACAAATAATAATCCTAAAATATTTGCTCAGTTATATAAAATGCTTTTATATAAGAAGAAGGATATAATAGCTATTCAGAAAAAACTTGTTATTAGTAGGGAAAATACTTCATATGAATTATTAATAGATTTGATAATAGAAATATTACCAATATGGGATAATCTCAGCATTGATAGTAATCCCATTTTAGAAGAAACATTTCAAAGCAATAAAACCTTTTCATTTGGAGAAATATTTAATTTGCTTATGTATTTGGGAAAGAATATAATAGCAATTCTGGATAAACTCGACATTCTTGGTTATTCTAATCAAGAAAAGGTAGAAGAGGCCAATAAAAATGCAAGAGTATATCTTTAAAAGTTTAAGGAATTTTACAGTCCCTTAGAAGATGTTTCAAGTGTGTTATTAGTGAAATAGAGGAAAAGAAAATTTTATTTACTGGAGAAAGGCTTTCGCTAATTCCAAATCTTACCCCTCAACAATTGCATGAAATATTCTTTAAAAAATCAGCTAGTACCAATTAATGCTCATATCTAGAATAAGTTAACTAATTTATATTTTTTGTCACACAAGACACATCTAGATGTAAAAAACATCTTCTAAGTTAATAATTATTGTCTGAACTATTGATCTATCCAACCCTGGATCAGAATACCATTGCAAATTATCTCGCATACTTAGATCTAAAAGATTTTGAAGGCTTTAAGCAAAAATCTGTTTACTAGTAAAGTTGTTTTGTATAAGATGATTTCTAACCACTCAAATGAGATCAGAAGGTGTTAGAGTTTTCACAAAATTATCAACATAGATATTCAGATTAAGTGAAATGAGCTGATCTATAGTCTCTTTGCTAATTTTATAATACCTTCTTAGATTAAGATATTTTAAATTAGGACAAAATCTAACAATTTTTCTAATAGTTATCAGTAATTTTACAAAAGCTAATATCAAGATGTTGGAGCCTTGGACTAGAATGAATATTATTGTAAATTGATATTTCAGAAAACTCTGTATGATTAGAAATATTTAGACATTCTAATTTATGATATGAATCTGCAATTGCAGTTAGACCTTTATTAATTTTCCATTAAAATAAATTACCTAAAACAGATATATTAACATACTTTAAATTTGAATACGATTCTGCTATAAGTTTTAAAACTTTTCCAACAGACTTAGGCTCCATACTTTCTTCAAAATCTAAATGAATTATATTTAGAAACTGCATACAATGCTTTTGATTTTTCTATTTGAAAGCCGATAGTCTGATATTTTAATATGAGTTAATTTTAAGTTATAAATTGATTTACACCCTCCTTTATATACTATTTTTAAAATCTTTTTATTTGAGTTTGATTATTCCCAATATCATTTAACTCAATATATTTTCATAAAATAGGAGCATCACATCTGTACTAATCCTATAAGAAATCAAAATAATGAAATGATACATTTTTTATAAGGTTTATATATGTAATTGATGATTCTATATCATAATTTCATATGTTTTATAATGATTTATTTTTTTAGAAAATTGATGTATACAGAATTATTAAGAATTTGAAATAACATATAAATTTTATGTAAAATAAAAAAATAAAAAATAACAATATTCAAATCAAAAAAAAAAATTTATTTTACGGTTAAATAAAAAAAATAAAAAATAATAATATTCAAACCAATTTTTTCTTGTACTTTTAATGTATAGATATCAAATTTAATTTGTGATATTCCAAAGATTTATTACATCATTTTTGTCTAATAGATTAACTTCTTTCATTATGTTTATCGATCTATAAACAAGATTTAACATTTTACAAATTTCTTATTTGATGATCTTCATTAACTAATACCAATAGCCCTTTGTTTATTTTATCTGCAAAAGACAATTTTTTGTCATTTAAAATGAATTATTTTTTGAAATCTAATATATATGGAATTATTAAGGAATTTGAAATAACATATAAATTTTATGT